GTTTAAATTATTGTATTAATTAGATAGTTTGAATTATTGTATAAAGTAAATAGTTTGAATTATTGTATGTGAATATGCAGCATATTATGTAAATATGCAGTATAGTATGATCCAGTTTAATAATGATAACATTAATAATTAAAGTATATTATATTATATATAATACTTGTGGCTGATACGGTTGCATTACTAGGGGAGGGCTAGTGTACTACATGACTTACTTACTTGACTTAAGGCGGCTTCAGCGTCCGAGTATTGATGCGCTGTCTCCATAAAACTCTATCCGCCATAAGTCCGCCCATTTCTCCAGTGTCGTTGAGACCCGTGTCAGCTCGTAGGCTATCAACATAGGTCATGGCTGGTCTCCCCCTACTCCGCACCCCATGAGTTGGTTCCCAGAGTAGCAAGCGGTTTGCGACTAGTTCTGGGTGCCGGTGGATATGGCCTGCTAGTCGCATCCTGCGCTCTTGGATCTTCATGGTTGCTCTCGGTAGGTTGCCATAGACTTCTTTGTTGGTTTTTCGCTGCTTCCAATCCACATTAAGTGCCATCCTTAGCATTCTAGTGTAGCAGCCATCAATGCGTTTCTTCAATTGCTCTGTCAACGTCCAGGTTTCAGAACCATAAAGAAGTATTGACTCCACAGTAGCAACAAATAGACGGATCTTTAGTCCTCTTCTAAGGTCAGACTTCCACATCTTCTTTAGCTTGTGGCAGGCTGCCCAAGCCTTAGCTTTTCTGACCCGCAGGTCCCTCTCTGTTGTTGCTATCCAAGCTCCAAGGTAAACAAAGTCTGTCACCTTTTCCAGCTGATTTCCAGAACAGCTATTAAGACTACTCGCCTCCTCTGTCATGTTCAGAGTCATGAACTTAGTTTTAGAGCCGTTCATGGCTAGCCCAACACTCAGTGCTGCTTTCTCAAGCCTGTCCAGGAGTAGTTTTGCCCCTTCAATGGTATCAGTGATAAGGGCAACATCATCTGCAAACTCGACGTCTGCGATCTTCTCGGCACCAATCCTTCTACTCCGTGCAGGCCTGAGGGTAAACCCAGAGTCCGAGTCATCATCGTCTATAGTCACTGTCATGATATAGTCAATCACGATAATGAACAAGTACGGGGCAAGAGTGTCTCCTTGCAGTACTCCAGCCAGGATATCAAAAATTTCTGTTATACCATCGGCTGTAACTACTTTAGCCTTTGTGCTCGTATAGATACCCTCAATGAGCCGCACTATGGCTTCTGGTATGCCATATGCTTTTAATATCTTCATGAGCAAACCTCTATGCACACTATCGAACGCCTTTTTGAAATCAATGAAAACCATGGTGGCCTTAAGATTTTTGGCTCTAGCACCCTCCATAATTCTTCGTAGAGCAAGGATGTGCGATGTTGTAGAGCGCCCAGGTCTAAAGCCATTCTGGTTGTCCCTTAAAACTTCCTCAAGACTTGGCTTCATCCTGTTCAGCAACATTTTGTTCAGAGTTTTACTGACTATCGATGTCAGAGATATTCCTCTGTAGTTGTCGGTCTTAGTGAGGTCCCCTTTCTTTGGCACAGGAACAATATTACTGAGCTTCCATTGGTCGGGCATGAGACCATCACATAATGCATCGTTGCAGAACTTCAGGATGACGTCATCGATGTCCACCCTCTTCATCACTTCAGGTGAGATACCATCATCACCATAAGCTTTGCCTTCTACTATCTGCTTTTTGGCAAGACGTAGTTCCTCAATGGTGAACGGGCCATCCTCTATATTCAGTGGAGGGTGTATATTCCTGATCGGAATACTATTGTCAGGGACTTTGGGTGGCTGTCCAAGTAACCCAGAGAAGTGCTTCCTCCAGTTCTCAAGACGTTCTGTTGAGCTGCCCCCTTCCACGAGTCCACAGCTGGGATTTGTCCTCCCTGAAATATCGTTGACAAGCTTCCAGGATTCCTTGTTCTTACAACGATCAGCAGTATCCTCAACTTTCCTGATCTTTCCTTTCAGGATCTCCTCCTCTACCTCTTTGTAGCAGGCCTTTAACAAATCCTTTTTAGTGGCGACTTCCTCTCTCTTCTCCTCACAAGGCTCCTGATGGTATTGGTCCTTGGCCAAGAACAGTCCCCTCCTTGCACTGTCCACTCTTGGGTCACTTGAGGGGTCAATCTGCTTTTGTCGAGTCTTCTTTGGCAGAAGGCTCTTGTTTGCCGCCTCAATAGCAACCATAAGCTTCCCGTAGCTTTCAGTGGCCCCATCATCCTCCTCTACCAGGCCAGAGAATCTATTCCGAACTTCAATTGCATACTTTTTTTGAAGCTCACCATCCGACTTCAGGGCACTATAATCATAGTTAACTTTTTTCGGAGGCCTGTGTCCTTTCCTAAAGCTAACTTTGATCTTACACACTACAACTCTGTGATCAGATCCCAACGACTGAAAAGTGTTGTAAACTTCAGTGTTCTTTAATGAGTTTTTCCACTTCCGCCGTATGAGGATATAGTCAATCTGACCTTTGTTAAGTGTCCCATCGGATAAGAAGGTCCACCTCTTGTTGACCTTCTTTCTGAAGCGGATATTGGTAATTTCCATATCGCACTCCAGGGCAGTGTCTCTCAGTAGCTCTCCATTCCGATTGGTACGAGTATGAAAGTACCAACGGGAATCTTCTTCACTCTCCTTTCCAAGCCGGGCGTTCATATCTCCCTCTGTGATCAGCAGGTGGTGCGCTGGCACATCATTCATAGCCTGTCTAAGGGTGTTATGGAAATCCTCCGCTTCTTCAACTAGTGCTGCCTCGGTAGGACTATAGGCAGTTATAGTTGTGAGTCTGGGATTTCCGTTGAAAGAGATAGTCAGCACCCTTGAGCCATAGGGTTTAATGAGGCTGATTGCGCTGTATGCTCTTCTAGTCAGCAGAAAGCCCACTCCACCAGTGGCTGCTCCTGCTCCATTCCTCCATGCTGAAACAGTTACCAAGCTAACCCCCTCCTTGAACTTTTCGATCTTGATCGGCTCCTGGTGGACAATCCTATGTTCTTGGATCCCAAGGATCTCCATGCCACTCTCCAGAAACTGAGTCACGAGTTCAAGGCGCTTGTAACCTTCTCTAGCAGTTCGGACATTAAATGTCCCTACTAGAGCTACCTCACTACAAGAAACCAATGCATCCCCATCCTTTTTTTGTTGTTTTATGTTATTTTTTGTGCCGGGTGAAGGAGCCGGCATATCATCTGTCACCCCTCTCCTAGGGAGTTTTAGGGTGAGAGAGTCATCAATCCGGTCCCCTCCGACATCTAAATCAGTGGTAGGGACTTTAACCCTAGTGTTATTATAAGACATCATCAAACTTTTCAATGGCTGGTGTCTCATGCGCAGTCCCCTGCACATCAGGCAAAGTGAGACACCTACTTAACGCCGGGCGCCACTTGAGCGTTAAATGACTTATCCATCTTGGCCACGTGAGTAACAACTTCCGCTAGAACACTTGTTGCTACTAATCAGTAAGAGTGGGTTTTGTGATGATGTCCTGTCGTTGTATTATTTCTTCTTTCTTCACCAATTCCAATAAATGACTATACGCTTTTGTCCCAAAGCTTAGGGAGATTAGAGTGTGAGCCAAGGCTCCACTTTTACGGGGGCTAACCTTCCCCCTGACTACCTCGTTACCCCAGGCATGGGGGGCCGATCCTGTTACCAGAGCGTGGTCCAGTTTACCTGGGTCATAGAAACAAGGTCAGAGGCAAACGGCCAATACCTCTTTAGCTACTGTTCACTCCACAGCCGGGGGAGTCACTGATTCTCTGCACCTCTCTTCTCTTGAGGTTTAGAGTTAGGAGACAATTATGTGATTCAATAATTGAAATCCGCGGGGGTCAGTGAGCCTCCCGTCGTTACCCCAGGCATGGGGGGCCGATCCTGTTACCAGAGCGTGGTCCAGTTTACCTGGGTCATAGAAACAAGGTCAGAGGCAAACGGCCAATACCTCTTTAGCTACTGTTCACTCCACAGCCGGGGGAGTCACTGATTCTCTGCACCTCTCTTCTCTTGAGGTTTAGAGTTAGGAGACAATTATGTGATTCAATAATTGAAATCCGCGGGGGTCAGTGAGCCTCCCGTCGCCCTTCGCTGCCCTTAGCCTAGAGATCACCACTGTTCATCCAGTTTCCAGTCTTCACCACGAGGAGGTAGCAGGATAGGACTTGTTGTGGAGAGGCTTCATCTTGCTGTTCGATGTGGTACTGGAAAAGGGCACCAACGGGGTAGCCCTTTTTCGAGGTTCTGGCTGCTGCAGGCAGATCCAGGGTCTCTATCCAGCGGTGACGCTTTGGGCCACCTGCGCTTCACACAACCATTGGAAGACCATGAGTGTTATATATATAATACTTGTGGCTGATACGGTTGCATTACTAGGGGAGGGCTAGTGTACTACATGAGTGTTATATATATAATACTTGTGGCTGATACGGTTGCATTACTAGGGGAGGGCTAGTGTACTACATGAGTGTTATATATATAATACTTGTGGCTGATACGGTTGCATTACTAGTTACCATAGTTACACTACTAGTTACCATAGTTACCATTACTAGGGGAGGGCTAGTGTACTACATGAGTGTTATATATATAATACTTGTGGCTGATACGGTTGCATTACTAGGGGAGGGCTAGTGTACTACATGAGTGTTATAGATAATACTTGTGGCTGATACGGTTGCATTACTAGTTACCATAGTTACACTACTAGTTACCATAGTTACCATTACTAGGGGAGGGCTAGTGTACTACATGAGTGTTATATATAATACTTGTGGCTGATACGGTTGCATTACTAGGGGAGGGCTAGTGTACTACATGAGTGTTATATATATAATACTTGTGGCTGATACGGTTGCATTACTAGGGGAGGGCTAGTGTACTACATGAGTGTTATAGATAATACTTGTGGCTGATACGGTTGCATTACTAGTTACCATAGTTACACTACTAGTTACCATAGTTACCATTACTAGGGGAGGGCTAGTGTACTACATGAGTGTTGAGAGTGGAGACTGGAGGAATATATATGAGATAGAAGCAGCTGCCCTGAGACGGGGCCAGAGGAAACATGCCCAGTTTTATCAAGAAACTGGGGAGGTGAGTAAAACATATAATATACCTGTGTGAGCTGTGAAGCACTTGTCAATATGTGTGTGTGTGTATGTGTGTGTGCGTGTGTGCGTGTGCGCGTGCGTGCGTGCGTGCGTGCGTGCATGCGTGCGTGCGTGTGTGTGTGTGCATGCGTGCGTGCGTGCGTGCGTGCGTGCGTGCGTGCGTGCGTGCGTGTGTGTGTGTGAGTGTGTGTGTGTGAGTGTGTGAGTGTGTGAGTGTGTGTGTGTTGGACTATAGTTAGTGAAGCACTGCTCACCACTTTATCTAATTCCCGAACTTAAAGGCTGCTATTCTAATGACCCGTTAATTATTTTATTAGTTCGCTGAACTGCCTCATTGGGGCTAAGTTGCACTGTGCGAGCCCCCCTATATCTGTTACCATGGTTACAGGCCCCCCCCCCCCCCCCCCTAACGCTGTTGCATGGAATATAGTTATACTTGTTATAGGGGGGGGGGGGTGTAGTGCACCTCCTCCCCCCGCTATATTGTTATAGGGGGGTGTAGTGTACCCCTCCCCCGCTATATTGTTATAGGGGGGGTGGGTGTAGTGTACCCCCTCCCCCGCTATACTTGTTATAGGGGGGGGGGGTGTAGTGTACCCCCTCCCCCCGCTATACTTGCTGCATTATAATAATATATTGTAATACATAATTATGATATTTATTTATATTTCATCAAATTAAAATTGTATATTTTGATAGTGTATTATTTACTCCCTGCTACCAGAGTATATTATGTAGGTAATGAATAGGAAGCCACCTCGTCGGTAGTAGTATGTTCCTTCTAATTGTAAATCATCCTGGGTATGTGTTTATCGTGAGCTGTAACAGAAAGTGAAACTTTAAACAGAAAGTGAAGCTTTAAACAGAAAGTGAAACTTTAAACAGAAAGTGAAACTTTAAACAGAAAGTCAGCTGCTTAGATGACTATGGGAAGGTAAAATGTCATTTTAAATACAAATTTAAGCATGGATAATTGGATATTCATTACTATTACTATTAGTAGTAGTAGTAGTAATAATTAGGGTGTAGAACCACACTGTGCTCAAACCCATTACTATACGTGTTGTAGATTTGTGATATGTTTGTGTTTCCAGTGATGTTAATAATGCATGTGCCCAGGGACGCCCCCCCCCCTGGCTACGTGCCTGCATGTGCCTGCCACCCGATCATAATTACACTGCTTTATACACTTACTAGAAAGCCCGTGGTAACAGGGATGAAGCTAGTAGTATTCTTTGAAAGACATTTTTAATCGCATCAAAAAAGTCCATCCCAACGGAAGATACAGCCGATTTAAATGTTAAACACTTTAAACACAACGTAATTATCACAAAACCGACCAAAATGCCGTTCCAACAATCTTTGCACGTGCACGTGTGCATTACAACACCGTTGCTAACTTGCTATGCAACCTTTTGGTTTTTACCTAACTTCTTTGAATTCTTTGAATTATAATAATGATTAGGTCTGATCGTCATCTTCTTACAGCGTTCGATGTCTGTGTGTAGTAGTCCCATTACCTTAGTATTGCTGTACAACTACTACAAATTATAATAATGACTAGAAAGCCCGTGGTAACAGGGATGAAACTAGTAGTTTTCTATTTCTTTGGCAGTCAGTTTTAATCGTATCAAAAAGTATTAATCCTCACCGAAAATACAGCCGATCTAAATGTAGCTCGCACTGAACACAACGTAATTACCACAAAACCGATCAAAATGTCGCTCGCCAAGCATTGCACGTGCACGTTCAACACCGTTTTTTAATTTTGTATCTCAACACTTATTTTACCTCGGACATTCCAACAGCCACATTGTTACACAAACTACTACTATGGTTACTATACAACTTTTATTTGTTTACCTAATTTGCACGTGGGCGGTCGTACATACATTCTACAGAATAATTCTTTGAATTATAAATAAGACTAGAAAACCCGTGGTTAGGGAGGAAACTAATAGTATTTTTGTTAGTAAGTTTAAATCGTGTCAATAATATCCTACACAAGTACTCAACCGAAGATACAGCCAAATAAAATCTTGCTCGCACTAAACACAACGTAATATCAACAAAACCGATAAAAATGCAGTTTTAACAATCTTTGCACGTGCACGTGCGTGTAACAATCCTCGTTACTATGGTTACTACACAACTTCCTATTTCTCGTCTGATTTGCACGTGGGCGGTCGTACAGACAGACAGACAAAAATAATTCTCTGAATTATAGTAAAGATAATTGAAAACCCCTGGTCACAGGGAAGAAGCTAATAGTATTCTTTGATTTTCATATAATCATCAAAAAATATCCGTCCCAATTCCCAACCGAAGATACATTTCCTCCCAACATGTCACTTGGAGGTGTCACAGTGTTTGGAATGAGTAAAGCAAGCAGACCCCTCATTTCCTCCCAACATGTCACTTGGAGGTGTCACAGTGTTTGGAATGAGTAAAGCAAGCAGACCCCTCATTTCCTCCCAACATGTCACTTGGAGGTGTCACAGTGTTTGGAATGAGTAAAGCAAGCAGACCCCTCATTTCCTCCCAACATGTCACTTGGCGGTGTCACAGTGTTTGGAATGAGTAAAGCAAGCAGACCCCTCATTTCCTCCCAACATGTCACTTGGAGGTGTCACAGTGTTTGGAATGAGTAAAGCAAGCAGACCCCTCATTTCCTCCCAACATGTCACTTGGAGGTGTCACAGTGTTTGGAATGAGTAAAGCAAGCAGACCCCTCATTTCCTCCCAACATGTCACTTGGAGGTGTCACAGTGTTTGGAATGAGTAAAGCAAGCAGACCCCTCATTTCCTCCCAACATGTCACTTGGCGGTGTCACAGTGTTTGGAATGAGTAAAGCAAGCAGACCCCTCATTTCCTCCCAACATGTCACTTGGAGGTGTCACAGTGTTTGGAATGAGTAAAGCAAGCAGACCCCTCATTTCCTCCCAACATGTCACTTGGAGGTGTCACAGTGTTTGGAATGAGTAAAGCAAGCAGACCCCTCATTTCCTCCCAACATGTCACTTGGAGGTGTCACAGTGTTTGGAATGAGTAAAGCAAGCAGACCCCTCATTTCCTCCCAACATGTCACTTGGAGGTGTCACAGTGTTTGGAATGAGTAAAGCAAGCAGACCCCTCATTTCCTCCCAACATGTCACTTGGCGGTGTCACAGTGTTTGGAATGAGTAAAGCAAGCAGACCCCTCATTTCCTCCCAACATGTCACTTGGAGGTGTCACAGTGTTTGGAATGAGTAAAGCAAGCAGACCCCTCATTTCCTCCCAACATGTCACTTGGAGGTGTCACAGTGTTTGGAATGAGTAAAGCAAGCAGACCCCTCATTTCCTCCCAACATGTCACTTGGCGGTGTCACAGTGTTTGGAATGAGTAAAGCAAGCAGACCCCTCATTTCCGACCAACATGTCACTTGGAGGTGTCACAGTGTTTGGAATGAGTAAAGCAAGCAGACCCCTCATTTCCTCCCAACATGTCACTTGGAGGTGTCACAGTGTTTGGAATGAGTAAAGCAAGCAGACCCCTCATTTCCTCCCAACATGTCACTTGGAGGTGTCACAGTGTTTGGAATGAGTAAAGCAAGCAGACCCTTCATTTCCTCCCAACATGTCACTTGGAGGTGTCACAGTGTTTGGAATGAGTAAAGCAAGCAGACCCCTCATTTCCTCCCAACATGTCACTTGGAGGTGTCACAGTGTTTGGAATGAGTAAAGCAAGCAGACCCCTCATTTCCTCCCAACATGTCACTTGGCGGTGTCACAGTGTTTGGAATGAGTAAAGCAAGCAGACCCCTCATTTCCTCCCAACATGTCACTTGGAGGTGTCACAGTGTTTGGAATGAGTAAAGCAAGCAGACCCCTCATTTCCTCCCAACATGTCACTTGGAGGTGTCACAGTGTTTGGAATGAGTAAAGCAAGCAGACCCCTCATTTCCTCCCAACATGTCACTTGGAGGTGTCACAGTGTTTGGAATGAGTAAAGCAAGCAGACCCCTCATTTCCTCCCAACATGTCACTTGGAGGTGTCACAGTGTTTGGAATGAGTAAAGCAAGCAGACCCCTCATTTCCTCCCAACATGTCACTTGGAGGTGTCACAGTGTTTGGAATGAGTAAAGCAAGCAAACCCCTAATTTCCTCCCAACATGTCACTTGGAGGTGTCACAGTGTTTGGAATGAGTAAAGTAAGCAGACCCCTCATTTCCTCCCAACATGTCACTTGGAGGTGTCACAGTGTTTGGAATGAGTAAAGTAAGCAGACCCCTCATTTCCTCCCAACATGTCACTTGGTGGTGTCACAGTGTTTGGAATGAGTAAAGTAAGCAGACCCCTCATTTCCTCCCAACATGTCACTTGGAGGTGTCACAGTGTTTGGAATGAGTAAAGTAAGCAGACCCCTCATTTCCTCCCAACATGTCACTTGGTGGTGTCACAGTGTTTGGAATGAGTAAAGTAAGCAGACCCCTCATTTCCTCCCAACATGTCACTTGGAGGTGTCACAGTGTTTGGAATGAGTAAAGCAAGCAGACCCCTCATTTCCTCCCAACATGTCACTTGGAGGTGTCACAGTGTTTGGAATGAGTAAAGCAAGCAAACCCCTAATTTCCTCCCAACATGTCACTTGGAGGTGTCACAGTGTTTGGAATGAGTAAAGTAAGCAGACCCCTCATTTCCTCCCAACATGTCACTTGGAGGTGTCACAGTGTTTGGAATGAGTAAAGCAAGCAGACCCCTCATTTCCTCCCAACATGTCACTTGGTGGTGTCACAGTGTTTGGAATGAGTAAAGCAAGCAGACCCCTCATTTCCTCCCAACATGTCACTTGGAGGTGTCACAGTGTTTGGAATGAGTAAAGCAAGCAAACCCCTCATTTCCTCCCAACATGTCACTTGGAGGTGTCACAGTGTTTGGAATGAGTAAAGCAAGCAGACCCCTCATTTCCGAACAGATGCTGGTTGACATGTTTCATTAGCT